CATTCTGTCTCAAATAAATAAATAAATAAATAAAATCTTTAAAAAAAAAAAAGTGGGCAAAGGACCTGAATACATTTTTTCCAAAGAAGACATAGAGATGGCCAAGGGACACATGAAAAGATGCTCAACATCATGAATCATCAGGGAAATGTAAATCATACCACAAGGAGATACCACCTCATGCCTTTCAAAATAGCTAGTATCAAAAAGATAAAAATATATATATATAGCAAGTGTTAGCACTGAGGTGGAAAAAAAAAGGAACCCTCGTGCGTTGTTGGTGAGAATGTAAACTGGCAGGCACTGTGGAAAACAAAGTGGAGATTCCTCAAAAAATTAAAAATAGTAATTCCATACCATCCAGTCATTCCACTACTGGCTATTTACCCAAAGAAAACAAAAATTCTAATTTGAAAAGTAAAACATTAATCACATCCTAAAATTGTTTTTTGTTTTTCTGTATCTAAAAGTTATATATTATTATCTTTATTAGTTTAACGACTAATTTGTCTTTTACTCCTTATTCTCATTATTTTGTACCTTTTTTCCAGGAATTTAAGAATTTCAGCAGTTACAGTTCACAGTCAAATATTTTTGCATTGTGTAATTTTTTTTTTTTTTTAACAATGGATGGATAATTTTGTTTGACTTCTGGGAAATTGTTACAAATATACTTCTTTCAACTTTCAAAAGGTTCTTTCAGAGTAATCACGGATCAACTCATTTTAAGTGATTTTGTAGGAGAGGCCTAAGATGTAATTATGTAACAAGTTTTGCTTTGTCATGTACAACTGCTGACCTTGTCAACTTATATATTTATAAGCATTTTAATAGTAAAATTAATAATGGCTCCTTAGTGATAGTTTCCTTTTTTAAATTAATATTCTCACAAAGAGAGAGAGCATGTGATTCTTGTGACTTCATTTAAGGTAAGTCGATACTTAGACAAAAAGGAATAAAGCTAAATGTCTGATATATTAAAGTACTACCTTCATATCTCGAGGCATTTCAATTTTGAAGGGATCTTGACAAGCCAAGAGATAATTATTTCAACAAATGTATTGATAAAAGTAGAGAAAATGACACATTTATCACAGACTTATTTTTCTTTGCCTTTTTCACTTTTTAAAAATTTAGACAAATAGAAAAATAACCTACATATTTTAAACATGTTATATGAATTACACATTAAAAAATGAAGTCTAAAATGTAGACATTTCATTGTTCATTCATATATAATGTATATTCAGCAGCAGTTAGCTGACTGTGCATTTTATGTCAATGATTTGGCATGGTATGTTTTCCCAATGTGTCCCAGATGTTATGTGAAGTCCTGAGTACATATTAAAAAATGTGTACACATGCATGTGTATATATGTGTTTCAGGGAGAGGGAGAAAATCCAACAATAGCCCTCGTAACTTTAATAAAAGCTGCTATTTAAACCATATGAAAGTTAACTATTTTTATAAAAATTTAAATGGTTTTAGTGAGCATTTATAAAACGTGTACTGCCTTATGGCCTTTAAATCTGACAGCTGATGACATAAATTTTCTGGATGGTGATCAAGTACATGTTGATGCAGCTGTTGCCATGTTGCCATAGTAAAACATGCTGAAGCATCTACTTCAGTTTCAACTGGTTGAGCATGACTCTTTCTTAAATGATTACTAATGACCTATGACTTTTAATAATGAGTATCTAAAATCTCGATTGCCAGTAAAAATAAAATCTAATTTAAACTCTATAAAAGTTTGGGGGAGGAGGAAGAGAATTCTCTACTGCACAAAGAGCAAACTCACATACTGAAAGGTGTATTTCTAAAAATGAATAGTGTTTCAGAAAATCTGTAAGTTGTGCTCCCAAGGAACAAAATCTGCATTGGAAAATATACATTTGTCTATTGTGTAACTCTCCAGCAAATCTCCAGTGGACTCTGCTAATATATTGCACTGGACTGTGGGTCACTTTGTATCCATCTTGCACCCTGTACCCTTCTTATCAAGGCCTGGCAAACTTTTTAAGTTGTAGCATGGTTAGGAATTTCTTTGCTGATGGGACAATATTAATTGCTCAACAATCAGTATTCAAGAGGATTTAGGGTTTCTATTAGCTTTAATACATTACCTATTCTACCTTATGAAGAGAAAAGCTAAATTTACATCCATCTTTTAACATTTAAAAAAAACTTGCCATTTGAAAAAAACAAACTTCCTATTTGAAATGCAAGCTGTGCATGCACTTTACTTTGTATAGTTATGCATTGTTTTCAACTTTCCAGCAAGAATGACTTTACGTAAAACATACACTCTGCATTTAAACACACATTAAAATAGAATGGCCTCTTCTTTTTCCCTTTCTTTCAAAGGAAAGAGACAAACAACTTCTGTATGTTTGAATTTAGAAAATGATAGTACATTTCTTCTTTTTGATTGTGGTTATTCACTTTTGCCTTAAAATTACACATCCTTTATTTTCTGTCTATGGAAACACATTATCTTGGTTTTTAAATTTTTCTTGTATGTGCCTTCCATGATATGTATATATTTCAATTACAAGAACAATTTTGTATTTTTAAAAACTCATGCTGGAAACTATCACTCTGGAGAGAAGAAGAAGGTAATAAAAGTAACCCAACCAACAAGATAGTGCCCTGTGGTGTATTCTAACTCTATTTGCTCACCAAATGACCTTGAGTGACTTCTAACCCTCTTCTAATACCATCACTCAAAATTGGGTCCACTTGCCTTTTCATTAACCACTGAACCTTCCTTTGCCACTCTGAATTTTGCTCACCTCAACCAAGGGAAGTACAACCTGCCTCTAAATCCAATTACAGCTTTCGGGCTTCTCTTACAAATGCTCTGCATTTTAATTTGTTAATATGCTAAGATTATCATATCTCTGTAACTATAAAAAGCAACAGAAAATTAGCTAATGTCTTAGAAACAAATGCTTTCTTAAGTAACCAATAATTTATTATACATTTCACAGAGCATAGGCCTGGGAGTACAGCCTATTTGCAGTCCATGCTGCAACTGCTGGTTCTGGAAACAGGTCTCTCTCTCCTCTTTCCCCATTTGCCTTTGTTTTTGGGTCACACAAAGAAAACAGGGAAGTCTGCTGTTGAGGGGGAGGTTGAATGGGTGAAATGATGGGCTGAATTTCCCAGGGCAGCTCAAAGGCTCAATTTTATGTTTTACATACTGAAGTTCTACATAAAATAATATTTGAGGAAAAAGTCATGGTTCTTAAAAAAACGTTAAAGCTGTGGAAACCACATTTGATGATTCCTTCCCAAACACTACTATGAGTTTACACAAATTTTTCAACCCACAGCAGGCTGAAATGAATTGATGGCTGCATTACGGTAAGTATTAATAAAATGAGTAACAATGTCAGGTTTGCATGCAATGTCAGGCTTGCAATGTCAAGTTTGCCTCTGATCTTAGCTGCATTATTCACTTCAAAGCTGGATACACTAATAATTATTAAGTGATATACACAAGATGTATCACTATACAGTGATGGCCCGGATCATACAAGGTACAAAAGATACCCTACATATATTATGAAAGGTAAAATAATGTCTACATAGTTCATAAATGAGCTTATACAATAGATATTAACTAAATAGCATTTGTGGGATTTCATAAATACCCTCGTGCTGGAATATTCATGTGCCTTGCAGACTTAACAACCTCCTCAAACTTCTCCATACTTTCTTCAATAGAACAGTTAATATTCTTCTTGCTAAAGGATTCAGATGCAGCACCAAAAACTGATATCTCAGTGGCTCCAGCAGCAACCTGAAAAAGAGAATTTAAAGGCAAAAGCTAGAAATTTCCAAAATGTACATGATAGCATTAGAAGAAATATTAACTACTCAATAAAGGCATACTTGTGTTAACATTTGTCTTGGAATTTAAAATTGGAGTCTGCTCATCCTGCCTCATATGCTCTTTTCAAACTTAAAAATATTTGGTGATAACACAAGAACTTTCTAAACTGCAACACCCATAAATCTGAGGCACAGAAAACACAGTGATGATGTTCCAATTTTATCTTACCTTTCCTAAATTATGTGTAGGCTTCAGAAATATCTTAACCATAATTATGGAAAATACTAGCATCCCAATAAAACCTTTTAATATCTATGGGAAACATTCTTCTTAGACCAATTATTAAAATAGAGGAAAGTAAATGCTTTCTGTTTTTGTCTTCCTATAACCTAACAGAAAAATGTTTTTCCAATTCATCATTTAGACTTTACCCAAAATTTTCTTCCTGTCTCTTAACCTAGCTTCCGTTGTTTCATACCTTGACTGCTACAACCATACCCTTGTGTGTCTAATGTCTTAATCCTCTTAGCCAGTCTTTAAATCCAAAATATTAACCTCAACATTTTTTCCCCTTTGCCATCCTTTGTCCTTGCCCCAGGCCTCTCCAGTGATCTGTTTTCAAATATCAAGTTTCTTCATTTTCCAGCTGGATTTTTAAAGACTTTCTATTAATGTATCTCTAGCACTGTGCAAGATTCTCCTCTCTGATACTCTATTAATATATTAAGAAAGAAAATATGTCATTTTTTTCATTTAAAAAAACATTGGCTTCTAGTCCTCCACCCAAAATAAGTTTTTAACTTCTAAAATTAAAATTCTATTTATTTGAACACTTACTATGTACCAGTATTGTTGTTAGTACTTTGTACGCCCTATTTCTAACCCATAATCTTATAAACTAAGTATCATTTTGCCCATTTTATAGATGACAAAACTGTGGCCCAAAGAGGCTGAATCACTAAAGCTACTAAAAGTTCGGAAGTCCTGCTTTGAGCACAGGTGCCCCTGACTCGCAAGCCCAAGCCGCTAGGTGCGCTTCATTACCTCCCCTCCAAGCTATCACGAGGGTGTGCACTCAGTTGGTATCTTTGTCAAGGTGGAGACATTCTTTACTCTGTTAGGACCAGTGACAGCAGTATTTATAATTTCTTAAAATGCCTCTCTCTTTACAATGGGATAAAAAAAAATTATCAAAATAAACAAGAGTGGTTTTAACAAGCTACACAACAGGTGATATATCAACTAGCACCCACAACCTCAAATTTATGCAACACAGTCCCAAAGACGAAAGGGAAAAACATTACCACCAGAAATAGCTGCTGCCAAACTTTTACAGTAAAGCCATGTGAGCATAACACCTCAAGCCTTGACCTAAAATTGCTCTGATTCTTCTTGTACGTGTCATTATTAAAACTTTTTGCATATAAATTCCTAAGTCACATAGGACTGGAAGAAACCAACCAGAAGAGGAACAGGGAAGGTTGTTAGAGGCAGCTGCAAATGATAGTGATTAGCTTCACCTAGAGGGAGGGAACAACAGCATCAGAGAGCTGATCCAAAAAAGTTGACAAAAATGATCCACTATAATATTAATAATTATTATATTGAGAAATGTTTAAGTTAAATTCTGTATTCCTTATTTAAGAGGGAAGCACAAAATATACTCTCAGAAGAATTTCATCAAAATGGGTAACTGTATTTTTGTGTTTCCATTCATGAATGGTTAAACTGGAAGGGCCATTAATGTGGAAGATTTCAGTCCCTAACAATACCCCGAGGTTTACAGATCGCATTGTAGTCATGTACCTATGTTAGAATAGCATTTATACAGGGTAACAAGGAAGCGACATCTGATACCGTTTTAACTATGTAAAGACCTTAAAACAGTAAGAAGCATATTGATATAAAAATAATGAGTAGCACACTTACAGCACGGTGAAAACCCTGAAGATTAGGAGTAAGGACAGGATATCGAACTCCTGGGTATTGATGAATGCCTTTCATCACTTCAGTGTGATCAGCCATCTGAAATACAAAATAGTTACATATATTCAACTTTAAATATTTTATCGAGCATGGTTTAGTTTTATAGGAAGGTTATAATTACACACGCAATTATATTCTATAAAATAATGTTAGAAATAATAAGCTATGCCAACGTAGCTAAAGATAAGTAGTTTCTAAAGTCATAAATATATGAAAACTAGATCTGGGTTTAACTTATTCACATAACAGGACCTGGCTAAATGATTACAAATAGTCAACAATTCTTAACTTTACTATTTTCACTTGACTGATTTTTAGTCTCTTCCTTTCATTTCACAACCCAAGTTTCAAATAAAAATACCCTTGAGATTAAGGAGAGGGTTTTTTTTAAGATTTTATTTATTTATTTATTCGAAACCGGGGGGGG